TGATGTGCAGAGAGTGTGTTTATGGTGGTACTGGAGGATGGAGGGCGCCCTGCTCCCCCTCCTGTGTGAAATGTGGTCGTCAGTGGTGCTGGAGAGCCAGAGTACACCACAGCCTGTGGGAACTGATTTAGAGGACATTGAAAGTCCTCTTTCCTCCAGACCCTGGAAGAGCTGACAGGCTATCTGGTGGAGCAATTCTATGAAGGGAGCATTGCAGTACTCGGTACCATGTGCCCTAATGGAAGCAGGTACAGACTGCTTCCAGACAAAAAGGAGCCAGGCTGCTGTCTGCTGGTGGCCTCTGCTCACCAAGGTGGGCAGTGTCTTCTTTGGTGTTCTTGAGGGGCCAGGTCCAGAGAAAACCTCCCTTTCCAACTTCAGGGAAACTTCAGTAAGGGTTTTTCCACTGCTAGAACACAGCTGCCTCACCATCAGCCAGGGCCAGTCTTGGCACGAGGATGAGTCAGAGGCGGCAAGGAAGGGCAAGGAATTTTATAGTAGTAGGAAGGTGGTCAGAAGAGGGATCTCATTTGGGTTCTTCTATCACTCAGCACATTGGAGCAAAAGAAGACCCTCCGTGTAGTCCTGTCCATGCCAAAAAAAACTCACTGGGTGATCTCAGACAGGTTTCATGGACTTTCTGTGTTCCATTTGAACTCATGCTTCCAGATACAAAATGCTTCTCTTCCTTTATTTTTACTTTACTATGTACATAATCTTTCTAGCATTCATTATTGTTGAAAAGACTCACTGCTGGGGATTTTTTTTCAGCAAAAATTGGATTGACTTTCAAAACCTTTTTATTCCAAACATAGTGACTAGCACACAGACATTCTTAAAATTGAGTGAATGAATTTATGAACAAATAAATATAGGAAATATAAGTGAGCCAGGCAATCATTATATTATTTAGAAAATTATTACTTTAAGGATCAGATCAGATATCATGACAATAGGACAGTGATAAAACTAAATAAATGGTCCTATTGTCCCAGTGCAGCCATTTTTAAACATGGGATTGGCTGTATGAGATGTTATATCAGCCTTCAGAGGATATCTGTACATCTGATATCAGGGTATCCAAGAGCCTTTGTAAGAAGCTGAGTGAGGTCAGGCTGTAACCCTGTGTGCCATCTCACCTGGCCTTATTTCTGCACTGCTCCACTCTGAGGATCCAGGGTGAGGATCCCGGCACTGGTCTGATAGGAAATATGGAGACAACAGAGATTCCAGTTCTGCTTGGGGGGCTTGGGGAATCCCATCCAGTAGTTGTCTCTGGGGTTACTGATGGGAAAGATGTAATGAACATCAAGGAGCTGAGGGCAAGCTGGCCTTTGATTAGAGTAAAATGCTAAAAACCAATAGTAATTTCCTTTTTTAATGTTTTACTTTGTCTTTGTCTTTGCTCTTCCTTATCCCCATTGATCTTCCATATGAGCTCAATGGCCTTCCTCTTATTTAGTCACAAGCTAAAACCATCAGGGATGGAATTTTATAAAGCCCTCTACTCATGATCCTATAAATGCTTCCTATGGGTGATGTGATCTGATGAAAAGCTTAGTCATGACAGCGTAATGGAGGGTTAGTCATGGGAGCTGGTAAGCAAATAGCCTGGCTTCAGGTTAACAAATAGCCTGATGCTTATTTGGAAAACCCAATAGCTTTTCCTCTAGATTCATACTCAGTCCTCTGCAGTTTCCCAGAGTCTCAGCATGCTGCTCCCTGAATATAACATGGAGTGGAAACAAGGAGACAGATTCTCATCTCTTTAGAGAACAATGTCCAACTCTTCAATTCATCCTCTTGGTACAGGAAGCAGAAACACCACAGCATCATTTAAATGGTTGTTTTGTGTATTCATTTTAGGAGATTACAGTTTTAGAGAAAACAAAAAACAGATACAACTCAAATTGGTATGTTTTAGTTTAAAAAACAGGGATTGAGACATTCTGGGTACAAACCTGGCCTCCAGCTCTCCCAGATGTGTTTTGGACAAGTCAACTAAATTCTCCTTGCCCTGACTTCCTCACTTTTAGAATAGGGGAAAGTAAACATCTTTCCTTGGTTGTTGTGATGATAATTAAATAGAATTCCAGGAACTGGTATTCTGTTTTTTTGTGCCAGGAACTGTACAAAATGCTGGACACACAATCTTGCTAATATCATTATTCATTTGGTGAATGAACTTCTTTGAATAACTTTTCATGTTATTTCAAAATTGTATAACAAATTAAAAATTAAAAGATATCTATTATATTCTATCAAAGGGAAAGTTGGATATTTCTCCAGTGATCTATCCAGGATTCTTTTATTTCCTATGAAAATAGTTGATCTCACTGTAGCCCCATCTCTTCTGAAATCTTTCTTTCTGAATTCTTGTTGTTCTCTGAATTTGTACCATTTCATTTAAAAATTTTCAAATGACTCTGTAAGCTGGGCACAGTGGCGCATGGGAGACTGGTGGCATGGGAGACTGAGGCAGGAGGATCCTGGATTCAAAGCCAGCTTCAACAAAAGCAAGTCGCTAAGCAGATCAGTGATACCCCCCACCCCACCCTGTTGAGAGCCACAGCCCACTCCTGAGGAGCTGTTTTGTTTGGCGTGTGTGGTTCTAAAAATAAAGTTCGTTTCTTTTGACAAGTGGCTCCTGAATTGTGCCCAGCCAGACTGCGGCACCACCCCACCCCCGTCTCTAAATAAAATACAAAATAGGGCTGGGGATGTGGTTCAGTGGTTGAGTGTCCTTGAGTTCAATCTCTAGTACCCCCACAGTGCCTCTGTAATTTGATGCCTTTCTGTTTTATATCTGCTAGTCTTATTTCTGAAATCCAATCATTAGCTCTTTCAGGGCAAGCATTGTGTTAAATTCTTTAGTATTTACCACAATTGTTGCCATAGAGGGTGTATATAGTATTTGTTTAATAAATACCCTTTGATTCAATGTCTGAGGTCTGGTATTAGGATAGGCCATGCTGTACAATAACCATGTTCATGTAATAGCAACCTGAAAATTTCAGTGACTGAACACAAAAAAAAGTTTATTTCCTGCCCCTGAAATATTCCTTTGCAGTGGCAGAGACTCTTCTTTATCCAGTGATTAGGAGTCTAGGTTTCCTCCACCTCAAGACCCCCATTTATCAGCATCTGGTCTCTGAGTTGGCAAAGGATGAAGAGACACAGATGAAGAGACACACTGGCTTTCAAGTGACTCAAAACCCTTCTGTTCATATTTCCATTACTTGAAATTAGTTGCATTCTGAGACTGTTGCCCCAGTTCAATCACAGGGGAGGCCAGGATGTGTAGGGAAACAGAGATATTTGAGAGCACAAATTGTCATGCCACATATCTGTGTGGTATGTTTTACAAAAACAACTCTGTCAACTAGTTAGCATCTCAATAGAGCGGGACCTATAAGTCACATAGACCATGAAACTTAGCTCAGTTAGTATTAGTTCAGAAACTACTAGAATTCAAGGTTTATTCATGTAGCAAAGATTTATTGAGTGCCTACTGAGTCCCAGGCACTATTCTAAGTCTTGTTAAAACAGCAAGGGGGAAAAAATAACAAATTCCTATATTCATAGAACTTAATTTCTAGTGGAAAAATAATAAATACTTAACAAATAATGTCGAGAGCATGATAGTTTGTGACAAATATTGGAGAAAATGAAGTAGGGAGGGATAATTAATGGGGGGATGAAGTTTGGATCGCAATTTTAAATAGAGCAGGAAAAGGTGCTCTGTGTAAAACTGGAGCAAAATCCTGGAAGTGAGAGGATGTCATTTTCATGTCAAGGGGAAGAGCCTTCCTATGAGAAGGACCACATGCCAAGACCCTGAGGTGGAGATGTGGAGCTCAGAATGCCTGGCATGTTTGGTGAGTGACAAGGAAGCCACTGTGGTTGCAGTGAGTGTGCAAGAGGGAATAGAGGCAGGACTGCCCAGTCTGTTGATTAGGGACTAAGGAGAGCCTTATATGATACTTTGCTCAGTGACACATGGAGTTAGTTGGGAGTTTTGAGCAAAGGAGTAACATGACCACTCTGGCCACAATATTGAGGATAGACCGTGAACAAGGGTTAAGAAAGAAGACAAGTTAAAGATATTGCCAGAATTCATATTGAGAGATGGTAGTGACTTGGACCATTGCCATCATTCCCCAAAATTGAAGGGACAGATTATAAAGGGAAAAGTAATACACAAATGCAATACAGCTTTTGCTGATAGGATGTTAGCATACAGTCTGATTGTGATGTGATTTATATTACCCCCTAGTCCAGAAGTCCATTGTTTCATTCAATGATTCAAGAAGCATTCCTGAAACATCAATCGATTGCCCGGACTTCTGTTGAGTCCTGGAGACACAAATAAGAACTCACCTGTGTTTTTCAGAAGCTTGAAGTGTAGTAGGTGTATAAAATCCGTGAAAAAACTAATGCATCATTAGCACCAAAATTAATCCCAGCAGCAGTAGTATAATTATGATGGGAACATTAGTAAAAACTGTTAACTGTATAGTATATGCTGGATGCGCCTGTGGATATTAAGAAGATGATATATGACTGTTATAATTACTATATTTTGATGTTCTTCTTTATAACCAAACTAGAGTCTTATAAAATTAGAGAACTTGTGGGGTAGGTTTGTGGCTCAGTAGTAGCATGCTTGCCTAGCACACCTGAGGCACTGGATTCGATTCTTAGCACCACGTACAAATAAATAAAAATAAAGATCCATCAATAACTAAAAAATATTTTTAAAAATAGAGAATTTATGACGAAAAACCTAATATAATGATCTAACACTATTATTTTTGTGCTCTATCACCCAACAGGATCAAGAATTTTGCCGTCCTAGAACCTACTTAAGACCCAGCTCAGAAAATGCATGTTCCATTTTTTTTCCAAATCTTGCTAATAGCCCAGCTTCCCTGACTTGTCAGCTTCTTTAAGTCCTTTTCATTGCATGTTCTTTTCTTCTTTTAATTTTCTGTTTGAAGAGGTTAAGCTGAAACCGCTGCTCAGCTCCCAAGATGGCACCACCCAAATTGCATGTGCTTTTCTGCCTCTGCAGCTGCCTCATACTGGTTCATCCTTTTGACTGGCAACAACTAAATCCCACTGGGTTTATTAAATCAGCAGGTAAGAGGTCTATTTGTTGAAGGGCCTGAACCACTGACCTGTTTCCAAACACCCAGGTGACTCAGAGATGTAGCACATTTGGACTTCTAGGCAAGTTTTATCAGGAAATACTTGTGGGGACCCTCAGTTTTCCCAGGATAGTATGAAGGCCTCACATTTTCCTCTTTATGACTGAAACTGAGGGAGTGCCTGTGTACTGCAAGATCATGACTGGAGAATGGAACCAGGATGAGACATTTCACGGGAAGCTCAGGTTGCAGTGATGGTAGAGAACTCCGTCAGTGTTGCCCCTTCTCTTCCTTGCTCCCTTTACCACCCAGACAGGGTAACACAACTGCCTTGGAGTTCCCTCCAAAGCAGTCTCAAAACCTGCTTCCATGAAGGTGGGAAGAGGCAGATATAGGTGTCTTGGTCAACAGATATAATCCTGGTCCGTAGTGAAGGGTGGGGAGAGAAGATGACATTTTAGGGTCTTGGGATCCATAGGGTATTGATCGTTTCTACCAAAGAGTAGGGAGAAGTGGAAGACAAGTAGGCATCAAGACAGGCCAGAGGAGAATAGATGTGGTGACTTGCTTTCTCACCTGTGATAAAAAGGGAAGGAGAGGTCAGGAAGGTTTGGACAAATCCAGAAAGAGTGGCTCAAGTGGGACAGCCATCTCTAGACAGGTTCATCTCACGTCACCAAGAAGGTCCTTTAAGGCAAAGAGATTGCTTATGGAGCTTTCTGAATTCCTGCTCATTCCAAAGGGTTGTAATGCATGAACTTCTCTCTCTGGTCTCCTGTGGAGAACAGTCGGCAGATTGTGAGTGTTGTTACACTGTCTGCACACCTGAATGGATGTGGTCACCCCAGATCTAGTTGTGCAGGCTTGATGGGTGACTCCTTACCATAACATTTACAAAAGAGATTTCGTAACTCTCTGTCATCAAGATAAATTTTTGCCCTACTTCGTAATTGGAGAGATAAATGCCTTGTAGGAGAGGGACTGTATCTTATATCTATGTTTGCATAGGAAATTGAATAATCTCTCAAAGGGCCATTCATCCCTCAACACTTATCAGCAAATTAAGCATCAGGATGCACTGGTGACTAAGACAAAGAGCTTATAGTCAAGACGTCTGAAATCCAGTTGAAATTCCATGGACTGAAATTAGGTAACATTTTACATCATGGGCAAATTATCATCTAGGGGACATTTACATCATGTACTCTTTATTGACACAGGGTGAGAAATTCAAATTCAAGACATTCTCCCCCCCCCCGCCCCCAATTCCTTTATGTTTAAAAGTCATTGAATAACTGTCACTGGACTGGTAGAAACTTGGGGACAGTAACATTACCTCATTTATCTTTGTAGTCATAGCATTGAGCCCTGTGCCCTTCTCATCCTAAATACTCAAAAATGAGTGAATAAATATTTTAAAATATTATAGCTTATAAAGCAAAATTTTAAATAATAGATGATTCTTTATAACTTTTATTAAATGAATACCCAGACAGTATAAATATGCAGGTAAAAGGTTTAAAAATAATTATGAGATATGTGATTTGCTAATAGAGGTCATAAAGCCATAGAAGAGAAGCTTATGTTCCTAGAAGGTGTACAGTTCATCTCTAGGAGTGAATATCAAGAATATTTGATAAGTGAACACCACAATGTAATCAGATTAAGAGTGCCCTATAGGTTCCAATGTTAAAATAAAGTCGAACAAAATTTTGAAGAGATATTTATAAATTCTGAACCACAAACTACATTATCTAAAAGTGACATCCCATCTGACAAATCTTCCTCCCTTCCTTTGTGCTGACTCCTGCTGGTGGCTTGACCTTTGAACTGCAGGCCACTGAGCCTTTTCTGTAGCCACCCTGGTAAGCCACAGGACCCTGGAAACCTGTACCAAAACCTGGGTCAGCTGGACATGTCCTGTGACCCTCTCAGGAGCCAGGTGTCTTGCAATTGGCAGACCTACAGCCTCACCTTGACCTGTGGCTCCTGAATACTGGGTGAGGAGGTTTTGAGGCAGATCATGTTTTGAACAACCAGGGCCACCCAGGTTATTGGAAGGTCGTCAGGGCCTCGGGGAACTGAGATCCCACAAGGGAGGAGATTCACTATGTGGGTTGGAGCCCTCAAAGGCTCTAGAATGACTTCCAGAGGTAGTGTCTCCAAGGCAGCCATGGTTCTCTGCGGTTCCTCACTGAACTGTGAGGAATGGAACCCCTCTTCCCAACCCAGTATAGCTGTGCCATGACTGCCTGTGGGTGGGGGCACAGCAGTTCACAGGCTGCTTATCACAGAAGGACAGGCAGGTGTGCCTTCCCCCACTGTAATCTGAACATGATGTCTCCCTACTGAACCATGAAACATGGCTCAGTAGAAAGTTTTGAATGGGAGAGGAAGAGCCTTTTGATAAACAAACCCTGTAGTGTTCACCTATAGGGAAAGTTAAAAAAAAAAAAAAACAACCCTAGAAATACCTTGAGTTTTTAATCTGCCCAATGGGAATGTGAGGTGCTCCAGTTTAAATCTTCTAAACTCCTCTAAGGATTTCACCATGAATTTGGCTTAATTCATATCTGGGAAGTGGACAATTAATAGCAGTTGAGTGCCTGTTACAGGTCAAGTTCTCTGCTACGTACTTGACCTATACTGCCGCTGCACTTGTCCTCCAGGCCGGATAAGTGCTTTCATCCCCATTTTATTAATAAAGATCAAAAGGGAATAAGCTGCCTAGGCCAGAGAAGAACAGCTTGTAGGAAATACACCTGGAATTTGAAATAGGGTCACCTGGATCTCATACCCAGAGTGTGTTCACCCAGTGTCTTCCTTGGAACTACCTCCTGTCACTGACCATACATTGCTGACCTGTGAGTCTAGCCAGGTGACCTGGTACCTTAGCACAGAGTTTCCTAAACTTTAATGAGACTTTTCTGTTTCAGTAGAGTTAGGTAAATTCTGGGAACATGCATTTCCAAGCTCCAGGAAGTGCCAATGATGCCCGTCTGTGGATCAGCTTTGAGTAGGGAGTCCTTATGTATTTCAGTAGGTGGCCTTCATCACTGGCAGGTACTTTACACATGAGTCACCAGTGTGCAGGATGTAAATAGGTTTGTTCCTATGACTAAAAGCCTTCCTGAGCAATTATATTGATGCAGGTGTAATACCTAACATACTGGCAGAGGCAGAGTGTGATGGAAAACACAAGAGAATCTGTCCAGCAGAGGATTCAACTCTCACAGTTCAAAAAGGAGAAGGAGTGAGCAGGCCAAGTGTATCCAGCAGAGGGAGAATTTGGTATACTGATATTTGGACCCAACATCTTGAAACATGGATTTGACTGCAGTTCAGAAAGGAGAACAGATGAAGCTTCAGGTGTATAGAAGGGTTTTGGCACCAGAGAGAGAAAAGGAATTTCAGGAGTGGGTGGGTCAAAGAGTATATTTGACGGGTTTGAAAGAAGAGCAAGAGACCATTTTAATTCATCTCATTTTGACGAATATTTATTGAGTGCTCACTATGTGCCAGAAAGGGCATTAAGGTCAAACAAAGGTTTTTACAAAGATGTGGAAATCGCTGTCTTACTGTGGGAGACAGTGTGCAGATACATAACTTCAATACAGTGTGAAAAGAAGAATTGTATGTATATATTCACATTATGTTACTCTATATATACATACATATATATGTATATACTAGAATCAGTGATACTGAGAATGAAAAAGATTAAGTCTGTTGGTGGGGGGCATCAAGGAAGGCATGACTTCTGAAGGTACCAAGGGGATTTCAAGCACAGGCCATAGTAGCATTTGTGAAGTTACAGAGACACCAATAGCTCAGTGTGCTAAGACACAAGGAAGGGGATTACTTCAGGGGAAGAGGCAGTGGGTTTGAACATAGAGGATTTTTCTTACAGGAACTTGGGATTTAACTTGTGTGCCTGTGAACTCAACATATTTCAACCCCAGTAAACTAGAAAGAGGGTCACATTTGTGCTTAAAGTCACAGTGCATTTGCTTAGCAGGGCATGTGCCCATTTAAATATCTTCTATAAACTGCTTTCCAAAAGGACCCCAGACATTGTCCCTTTAAGAATACACCACATGACGACAGGGAGCCACTACAGATTTTAAGAATTGCCTGGTGAGATTAGTGCATTGAATCATTCTAGGAGCTGGGTAAGGGATGTCTTCAAAGGGGTCAAGGTCCAGGTTGCATAGGACAGTTCAGAGAGAGGGCAACTGCTTGATCAAGAGATAGGGAATTAGTGAGACAGGTGAAAAGGTCAGGGATACATTGGGGAATTGATTCTAAGTTAAAACCAAATGTTAGAATTGAGTCTTGAGATGGATATGGGGGTTGGTAAGAAAGAGCTAGAAGAGTAGAATGTTTCCAGGTTTCTCTCCCTATCTACGCATGTGAGAGGGAATTCTGTTGTGTGGGCTGTGTGGTTTGGTAGATGGCTATTTAGTTCACCTTGGACTATGGCATTAGGCAGAGATGCCCAGTGAGAAGTTATAAGCACAAATCTGAATGTAAGATAAAGTTCATGATTAGAAAAATCAGATTTGTGAAGTCATCTTTAATATACTCTAGACAGAAACAGGGTGACAGCAAGCTGCATTAGGAAGTGATAGTCCCAAGCATCTTGGGGGAAGACCATGTCTACCTCCATGATTTTATTCTTCAAAACCCCTACATGGTGCTCTGCATACAACAGGTTCTCAATTAGTTTAAGAAATGAGAGAGACCAGAAACAATGGGAAGGAACTCAATTACCTTGGAGTTCCTTGCATAATAAGACCTGAGGTGTGTAATGGATAAAAAATGAGGTAACATGGGCCTGTTTTTCAGGATGGACTGATCAAATACAAATGCTGATGGCTGCTGTAAGCTTTGAACATACTAAAATCCCCAGAGGAAGTGGATCTTACTCTGTTGGTTGCACAGACTTGATGTTTGATTATACCAATAAGGTAATGCTTGGATTAATACAAATTATCCTTTTATTCTAACATTAACTACTGTCAAGATCCACTAGCAGGTGTTAAAACTTGACATTGCCCTCATCTGAGAATGACTAATATTGCCACTTATATTGCTTCATCTGAAGCCTTTGCTAACTAAGTCATTCCCTAGCTCTTTGATGACATCTGATTAATTGCCTATGAATTCTCCCCACACTCAATAGCTGAAGCAAGTCTGCTCATTTTCTTTTCCCACTCAGAAAGCATATTGTTATTTTTCTTCTCCGTACTAATTCTGTTCAATCACCACAGTATTTTTAAAAGTTGTCCACACCTCATTATGAACAACAAAGGTACCTGGGTCTCCATTAATAAAATATGCAAAATAGCTGTTGGAATAGTTTTGAGAAACAACTTGACTAAAAAATGTATTAATTTCTCTCCTTAACAGAGCACCTTCTTGCGTTTGTATTATCCATCTCAAGATTATGATCACTATGAGACCCTTTGGATCCCAAACCAAGAATATTTTTTGGGTCTTAGTAAATTTATTGGAACACATGGGCATATGAGCAAAATTTTAAAGTTTTTATACGGTAAGATTTCCATTGTTCCTACTCTGTTGGCTCTAGAATATGAGAAACCCTTAGAAACAATAGGAATTTCAGATAGTTCAGACCAAAGTAAATTTTCTCCAATCTAAACATCTCCTAAGGTGACAAGGACAGTATTTCTGAGGAGCCTAAGAGAATCTAGGGTTCTCATTTGTCCATTCTGAATTTGATGGGAGTAGTTGAGAGGGTCAGACTGACCTACCATCTTTCTGTGGCTGGTCCTTGGTTTTTCCTCTTAGAGGCCCACTGGGAAGGCAAGAATATAATGAGAGTAGCAGGTTGGCTTAGGACCACTGCCCCATTTGCTCTTTCAGGCTGAATGAGAAAGAAAGTAGAAGCCACTGTAACTATCCAGATCAAAACAAAACAAACAAACAAAAATCTAATTTCTTACTTTTCACAAATGAAGAGACTTTGCTCTCTTCCCATTACCTACCTATAAGGAACCAGCCTCTCACTAATAATCGATGTTCATTCATAATTTAATGTGTCTAGATTGTGCTAACACAGACTTTCCTCATCTATCTGCCCAGATACCGCCATTGGGTCAATGTTAACTATGTCTTCAAATTTCTCCCTCAAAACCAACAAGTTCTAGAATTAATTTTAAACTTAGAATTTTTAAAAAAACCAATCTAATGTAGGAATGATGAGAATAGCATATTATACATCTTTATTGTGAATAATTTATAAATCACTTCCATATCGATCATCACATTCAGTTTTCCTGACCACAACTTCATTTTATAGATGAGAAAAAAAAATGAAACAAAAAATATGGTCAGAATTATTATTGCCTGACAGTTGTGAAGGAATGGAGGAAAATATTTTCCATGTTTTTGAGCCCCTTACTGTATGAGTGGATAGGTGCTCAATTTTATTAATTAAAGAAAACTCTCTCAAAACCTTTATGAAGTAGTTATCATTTCCTCCACTTCACAGGAGAGGAGTTTAAAGCTCAGAAAGTCAGTAATTTGCCAGAGGCCAATAGCTGGTGGATGGCAGAGGTGTATCCAAAGCCACCTTTAAGTATGAAGTCTGTGGTCTCACCATCCTTCACTGGATCATGACAAATTAAAATGATAGGAGTCTCCGATTCTTAGATTCTGGTTTTCAGTGTAACGCTCCTGAGTTTACTGCATGGTTTGGTTTCCCTTTGACATTGTCTCAAACATCAAAATAGTAATAAGTAGCAGCCCCCCTGAATACACCTGTGTAGGAAAATCTCTAACCTTAAGTTCAGAGCTGGCAGCGAGAACGGATAGCTAATGATAGTACCATGTGAGAAAAGAGCATACGATGCAGGTATTTGGTTGGTGAGTAACCAGTAGCTGACTTTTTAATAAGTTCACTATTAAGCCATAAAAACATAAATTCCATGCTTCCAGATTTTATGCTAAGGAGATGTAAGTTAAGTTCACTAGCAACATTCAAGTCAGAGAAAATACTAACTAATTTCCTATTGTTGTCTAGGTTCAATAATAATTCCTGCGAACTGGAATTCTCCTCTGAGGACTGGTGAAAAATACCCGCTTATTATCTTTTCTCATGGTCTTGGAGCATTTAGGTAATGTTTGAGAGATTGGACAGCTTTATCCTCTAGCTATCTATGACTGAATAGGTTTTTTTCCCAAAAAAGTAACAGCAGATTTTAGATTGTCATACTGGCCCTTGTCCTGGGGTACTGAGCTTCCTCAAGAATTGGCTGTAGTGGGCTGTTTGGTCCTAGCTCTATCTTGTCAAGTAGTACTTTACCTCCTTCCAGTTCATGGAAACTAGCCTTATAACAGAGAAGAGAGGATGCTTTTGCCATTAGACATTTTAATTATTTACACTCTTTTGAAATTATCCTGTGTTAGTTCATACCTTCCAAGAAACAAAGATTGGATTAGCTGCAAAAGATATTTGAAAGAAAGAAAAATACCTGTGCAGGTTCGAAGGAAAGATGGGGAAAGTCTTCAAATCATGGGACACCTGGAAAGGAGAATGAGGAAGGAAGAAGGATTAGATAACAGGAGTCTCTGATTGTAGTAGAGTTCTAAGAAAGTATGCACCAGGCCCACGGAAGGAGTGCTTGACCTGAAGTTGCTTGTCAAGATTCTCAGTCTCAGAGAAATGAGCCTATGTTAGTACCCAATCTGTGCACATCACTGGGAGTGTCTCACAGCTTAGTTTGCTTTTGAACATGTTGATGGATCGAGAGGAGCAGGAGCTGAATGGGGTCTTTAAGACCACAGCATGACTTCTGAGGGGCACATTTTAATGGCAACTATACCCTCTCAAACTTTCTTCTTCTGTCTTCTCAACTGCCTCTCCTTCTCCTACCTTGGAGGATTTTAAGACTTTCAGAGAATAAAAGGTGATTTTTGACTGAAATGAAGTTGGGTAGCATCTTCAATAAAGAATTATCTTCAACACTTTAACTTAGTCTGGTTAGTTATTTGATTTCTACTGGTGCCTGGCAAAGTGAAATCTTAGCGCCAAATCCAGCCTGCCACCATTTCTGTAATAAGCTTTGATTGGAAAGTGGCCAAGCCCATTCAGTTTTCATACTGTGACTCTTTTGTGCAACAACAGCAGAGTTGCTTAGCTGTGACAAACACAGTATGGCCCTCAAAGCTAGAAATATTTGCTCTCTGGTCTTTAACAGAAAGTCTGCTTATCTCTATAGAGGACCATTTCTCCTCCTACAAAGGAACCTCTGTCTTCAGCATTAGAAGATATTGTTCCCAGACACTACTTTTTACTTTCTATGGGCATTTCCTGTTGAACGCAGGATGTGAGAAAAAGATTATGCAGAATGAAGACACAGAGGAGGGTATAAGGGCTATGGTTTTTAATCCCTCCACCCAGTCCAATCATTTCAGTAACAGCTAGCAAGTGTTAAGTATTTAACCTGCTTCAGATAGGGTTATAAGCACTGAAGACCTAACAATTCACTTGATCCTTACCTGTGAGGTACCAACGGTTATAGCATCACCTTCTTATTGATAAGGTGGAAAAAAGATAAGTGCCCTATCCAAGGTACCCAGCTACTAAATGGAAGAACCAGGATTTAAACTCAGTGGTCAGATTGAGTATGCTTTCTCTTAACTGCCTTCCTATGTACATCATCTTGTCCAAACTGTACAGCTATCCTTGAGGTAGGGGTTTATTCTTAGCCCCAATTTTGCAGCAATTAACCAAAATATCAGATAGCTGGTTAGTGGCAAAGTCAAGATTTAAAAAACCCCCAAATCTCAAAGGCAACATTTGTAATCACTGTGCCAGGGTTTCTCAAGCTCAATGTTATTGACATTTGAGGGCCAAATAATATATTGTTTTTAGAGAGTTGTTCTGTGTATCTTAAGATGTTTAGCTGTATCCCTCTGCTTACTGGATGCCCTTAGTGCCCTTCTCCCAGTTGTAATAATGATAATACCTCCGGCATTGTCAAATAGCCCCTAAGGGTTAAGGTTGCTCCCTTGGTGAACCAAAGCTCCATGCTCTACCTCCAGGGCACTAGCCTCCTAGTTCTGTTTCTGGTTGTCTTAGAAGAACCAGACTGTCATCATGCCTCATAGTTGCAATACTTCTCTCTTTTTGTTTTAAGGACAGTTTATTCTGCTATTGGCATTGACCTGGCATCTCATGGATTTATAGTAGCTGCTGTAGAACACAGGTAGGTATCATGGTATGGCTGGGGTCTTTAGTCAAATACAGAGAAAGTTGATGCCCATAAGCATGCTTTTATCATACAAGCTGAAAAAATTGTTGATGATATTTTCAACTATGATTACATGATGAGGTTGGGGGAAAGGGGGTTGAGTTAGATTGTCAAGGCTTAAAAAAACAAATTTTGAAGTATTATTGTGTGCCCTATACTGTGCTAAGTGTTTTTCATACACCAATTAGACTTCACAACCATCCTACAGGATGGTTATCATTTTTCAACTTAAGGAAGATGGAAATGAAGGTGAGAAAAGATAATTTGTCCAAAGTCAGACGCTGGGATTTGATTCCATTATATTTTCCTCCTAGTACTATGAAGACTGAATAAGGTGTTTTTACATGTGACTTGACAAGGAGCAATAAGATCCATTTCCTAGAGCTTCCTTGGGGTCCTCTTTAATTAAAAAAAAAATAAAGTATAATAGAAGAGGAAAAACAAGTTAAAAAAATGAGAAGAAAGTTGAATCAAGGATGGAGTTGAGGAACATGGATCAGATGAGGAAGGAGTAAAATCAGTTATGTTTGCGTTATAGAGATGGATCTGCATCTGCAACTTACTATTTCGAGGACCAGTCTGCTGCAGAAACAAGGAACAGGTCTTGGCTCTACTTTAAAACCCTGGAACAAGGAGAGAAGGAGACTTTTCGAAAACAGCAGGTACTTTGCCATGATAAGAGAGGTGTTCTGGTGGCCTAAAGCATGTATGTAAAAAACAATGACATTTGTTAATTTAATTTTAGACATGGCAAACTATGCTCCTGGCTCTCCTACTCCCCATTAACAAAAGAGCTGTCAGAAGATATCCAAGTAGTAAGATTTCCTTAACAAAATGTCTGGTTCACAGTAAAAGTAAACACAAGTCTTTCTGGCAGAATTTTCTGGTATTGGAACTTCTAATTTTAGAATCTCAAAAAGTGATAAGAAATAAACTAATAGATCCCATACTCCTGCAGGCAATAGAAAAAAAAAGACTTCAGAGAGGAAGTGTGTAACAGTGCTAAGAGTACAGTCTTCATAATCCAACTTCCTACGTTTGAAAGTTGAACTCTACTAGCTTCATCACTTTGCTGTGGGCTGAACCAGGACAGGTTCATCTCTTTTGCTTCCGCATTTTATCTGTTACAAAACAGTGAGTTATAATAGCAGTGTCTATCTTACAGAGCTGTTGGGATAATTAAGTGAAATAAAGCACATTTATTGTTTCTTTGTTGTTGGCATTTTACATATGGTATGACATTGAAGTTCACCTACATTTTATCGATGTAGACATTGCTATACAATCAGTGGAAGCCCAGGGAGATTAAGTAAATCATCTGAAGTTACACAGCACCTAAGCACAGAGCCAGGATTTGAACTAAGCTATACTTCCCTGTGAAGCTGATAACCATGTCCCCATGTCAGCTTGCACACTAATCATTAATCACTCAGATGTTTCCAGTTTATAACAAACCAACTATTTTCCCAAATGCAACCTCTGTACAAACTTTAAGATAAATGTTAAAATCTTTTACTTTATCATTTCTTTCTTCTATTAATCATATTAGGTGCAGCAGAGAGCAAAAGAATGTTCCGAGGCTCTCAACGTCATTCTTGACATTGCTGACGGAACACCAGTGAAGGATGTGTTAAATTTAGGGTTTGATGTGCAACAACTGAAGGTGAGCTTTAAAAAAGCCATGCCCCTACCTCGACCCATTTTTCCTTATTGTTGATGTTGTCTGATTTTCAGCTATATTGCAGGATAAAGAGTTATTAAAAACAAAAACAAACAAAAAACATTTAAAAATACAGGCAAAGTAGTACAGCAATGAAGAGCGTATTAAGTTCAACTACAAATGAAATGACCAAGGGTCAGTTTTAATCCACAAAAATGGCATCTTTATGTAGATCAACTTGATACCTCCAGGGGAATTATTATAATTTCTTGGACAGCTCCTACATGTTCTTGAACTTAAACTTGAAAAGTTGATTAAAAGTTTTGGATACAATTTTGGGAGCGAGTGGAAGAATATCAGACAGACTAGACAGCATAAGCAGAGACTCAAAAGTGTTCAGGGGTATGGTAGGGTGGAGTGCAGGAAGCAGGGGAACTAGGAGTTTCGTTTCAGGATAAGATGAGGATTTGTCCTCCAGGTCAATGAAGACTTTGCGGTCTTTCAAGCAGCCTCTCTCTCTCCAATATCCAGGCCTTTGTACATGTTAACCTCTTGGCCTGACATACCCTTCCCCACAACTAACTCCTTCCTCATTGTTAATACTCTAGTCAGACATCATGCCCTCCAAGAAGGGTGTGTGGTCCCCAGAGCCTGTCCCTGTCTGGGTTAGCTGTCTATCAGATGAGCCCCTTGGCATATTGTATTGCATCAGGCATCTGTAGCACTTCTTTCCCTGATAGACTGTGAATTCACTGAAAATGAGACTGCACTGCCTGGCGCGTAGGAGGTACTCAGCAATGCTCAAGGAATGACTAAACCAATAAACATAGGCTGGGGAGAGGCAGAAATCAGCACTGATGTTGAAGTTTCAAGTGTGGGTGACTAGGAAGACCATGAAGTTACTTCTGAATTCTTTCGAATTATTTATATACACATATATACACACATCTAATACATATGGATATGTATATGTATGTGTATGTGTACATTCTATTTTATAGGAAATCAAGTACTTACTCATTGCCTGTGAAATGAGTAATGACTATATGATTGACAAGATCATGTAGTCTATTCTTCTAACACTATGTGAAATAGTTATACATGTTTATCATGCTTTTTCACATAGGGCTCCATCGATAGGAATAAAATAGCAGTAATTGGGCATTCTTTTGGTGGAGCAACAGTTATTCAAACTCTTAGTGAAGACCAGAGATTCAGGTAAGAAAATAAGACAAAGCAAGAGATGAGTAAATTATTAGAAGAGTGGGAATAAGAACACATGTGAGATGCAATGTTTTTTGTTGAAGTCTTTGTGAAGAAGGGATGTGTCCAGGTTTATAAGTCAATCTCTTTGTCTCCATCAGGCACTCTATATAAATTTTCCTAGGTGGAAACCATTTACTTCTCCTGCTATTAAAAACTCCCCACCCCCATCCCTGTAAACTTTCCCCCATCATTCTTATTTATCTGCTCAAGAGCTTAATGTTTTCACTTGGAAATTTATATTTGCACACATCTGTTCTCAAATAATGATTGTGATAATAATATTGCCATCTTATAATATTTATAGACTTTTCTAATAAGCAGGATTTTTAAAAATTAGTTTTTCTCCCTCTATCTTTAAGGCATAGCTAGATGTAAAAGCACACAGTTATTTGTGTAGGAGTCAGGACCAGACCCCACCCAGTTTTCTAATTTGCAAAAATATTTTCTTTCTTGAACTGCTTCATTCCAGACTGGTGAGATCACATAGAACCAAACATATGGAAAGTAGGCAGGATCATTTGTGAAATTTAACCTGAAATTGCTTAAAATCTGTTATAATTTCTTCTTTTATCCACTGAGCACATCAGAAGGGTTATTCAAAAGGTCAGGAAACATAGTATATACTTGTAAAAAGAAAAGTTAGTGACATTTTAAATGATATGCTTCCTACATCTTTCTGTAACTCCCAGACAATTCTTCAGGTGAAGCAATGAATTCATTTGTTCCTCTGGACCAGGTATAATAAATACACTATGGAGTGCTCTGAAGCTCTGGGAACACAGATGAATTGGTTCATTTATTGTACTTTTGAGACACCTCACAGTTTTGAAGAAATTGCTACTTATTTTTAAATTTATTTTGAAAACAATGTAACAAAATTGAACAATAAAAGTCTTAAGGAAATGTCTTTTCATAGGTTGCAATTCCTAAACACCTCCTACAGAAAACAATTATGTAATGCAAGTCTGCTACCTTATAAAACTAGTGATATCCCTTTTTCACACTGAAGTATAATAGTTATTATACCCAGCAAGATAACCCATAGTACATTTGGTGTGTTAGGAAGCCCTATATGTTGGCCAGTGTGTAACTAGCCTTTCTTCATCACTGTTAACAAATATCTGCAGGTGTGGCATTGCCCTTGATCCATGGATGTATCCAGTGAGTGATGATATGTATTCCAAAGTTCCTCAGCCCCTCTTCTTTATCAACTCGGAACAATTCCAGTCTCCTAATGACATCAAAAAAATGACAAAATTCTACCTACCTGATAAAGAAAGAAAAATGATTACAATCAAGTGAGTATTAGTAACGTACTCCATCTAAAACAGAAATGGAACTTGGACAAATGTCAACAGACACTATTTTGTGACCATTACAGTAATGTTAAATCAGTTATTTAAACTTTCAATAAGGAGCATGTTAGATGATCTCAGTTTCTAATTACATTTACTCTTTTTAAAATGAAAATACTTTCAGTAGTGTTAACAAATATAGTGCAAGTACCAGTAATTTAAATTTGCATTAGGCTATGAACACCTTTTATCTAAAAACATTTTGGAGGTGGGATGCAGGAACAAAGTATTCTATCCTTATTGCCAGGCTAGGAACTCCTAAAGAAGAAGTCAGATCTTCTACTGTGCTGACCTGTTGGGAAAGAATCAGAGATTATTAATTCCTTGGAGCTTTAACAAGTTGCCCTTGAGGATTAGCATTATGCTTCCATCATTAATATGAGAAAGAACTCCAAATAGGATTTTGAACTCACAATAAGGTATTACAAAGCAAAGATAGAACTCACCTTCTCCATTTGAACCCCAGTTTATTTAGGAAAAAGAGCAGGAAGGATTCATGTAGAGTAGTTCCTGCCCCCATCTGCAATTTTCATTTCTACACTTTTGTTTTCTATAGTTTTAGTTACCCACAGTAGGGAAACATTAATGAGAAAAATTACAGAAATCAGCAATTCATCAGTTTTAAATGTGTGCCATGCTCAGTAGCATAATGAAATCTTGTACCATTGCTGCATGCTGCCTGGGACATGAACCATCCCTTTGTCCAGTGTCTCCACACTATATATGCTACTCACTTGTTAGTCACTTAGTGCCATCTCCGCACTAAGAGTGTCACAGTATCATAGTGCTTGTGTTGAAATATGGTTCAATAAGATATTTTGAGAGAGATCACATTCATATAATTTTTATTATAGTAGATTATTAAAATTGTTCTATGTTATTGTTATTGCTAATATCTTTTTAAAATATTATGGTTTTTTTTCATACCTTATTTTTTTAATGTGGTGCTGAGGATCAAACCCAGTGCCTCACATACGCTAGGCAAGTGCTCTACCACAAGCTACAACCCCAGCCTTGTTATTGCTAATATCTTACTATACCTAATTTATAAACTTTATCCTAGGCATGGATATATAGGAAAAAACATTATGTGTAGGTTCTGTACTACCTGTGATTTTGTGTACCTCCCTTGGACAAAGGGGAACTACTAGAGTATGGGCAATAGCCACTATGGAATCAGAAAATGGAGGAGTCTTTTCCAACTGAAAAGTGTTCTCAGAAGGGATGGCACTCAAATTTGATCTTGTAGCATTGAAAGAGTTTAGATAGATTTAAGGAAGAGTCTGGGTATTTCAGGTAAAGGCTTCAAGTTAGTTTATTTGTATGTGCAATCTAGTTCTGAAACATATGCTACAGATCACCTATCCCTCCCTCAAACTTATTTCCTTCTTGGTTCTCATGTTTTTCTTCCCTTTTTATTAAAGAATAGCTTGCATTTAATATTTCATGCACTTCTATACACTCTTTGATGCTTGCAATCTAGTTTCCTAAGCCCCCACAACTGCATTGACAGTGCTTCAGCTCACAGCCTCTGCAGTCCCAGTCTTTCTCACCCATCTGCCACGAGCTTCTCTTTCTAGACTCCTGAATCATTCATCCCACTCCCTATTTTTCTCCTCTCAGGCCATCTCTCCCTTCATCCAGGCTTCTGCTCTCAGCTCTCTCAGACCTTGTCTCTATTTATCTTCCTAATGTTTCTGACACTCAAGTTTCAGCTGGAATGTGGGGAAGAGGGAGAGGGAGACAGCTGCTGTGCTTTGAGCTTAGGTGGCTAAAAGAATGATGCTTTGCTTCTTGGAACCGGTGAAGAGAGGAGAAAGAGTTGCAATGGGGGAGACTGGTCTGAGGTTGTGCTTTAGCCTTGGAATTTCCTGCGAAGTTGAAAGTCTAAGTAGAGACATCTGGCCACAAATTAGAAATGTACAGAATTTGCCTGCTATTGTAGAAGAAACCTTTGGGATATAAGATGCTGCAAAATGAGAAAGGAAGTGGTTCAAGAATAGAATCTGGAGGAATGCCTACACTGAGATGAAGAAGAATCAAGTCAGAAATGAAGGTGAGATGTCAAGGAAATGAACAGAGGTGCAAGAGAGTCACCAAGTATCAAAAAAAGAGGGGAGCCTTCTATTAGATGTTAGACTGTTGATGAATATAGGCCAATACAGGTCAGATCTTTGTCATTGTGATCATTTAATAGATAAAGGGGTTAACTCTGGGGTGTTTTAGCAAGGAACATACACATATTAATATAAGTATTAGGTGTGAGGGACAGACTCTGACTTCAAGGCCTTTCAACACCTAGCACATTCCATTTACTGAAATCAGAAGTATTAAACATCATTTCTTCTAAAATCAACACACCAGGATTCTTTTTTTTTTCTAGCTGGAGAGGACTTTACTTTAGGGTCCCTAAATGAATAGCTTGTGACCCAGGAATACATGTAAGGAGATCAGATTGCAAGTTTTCTTTCCTTGACTTTCAGTAAACAAGCTAATGGGGCCAGGATCTTTCTTGCACCCTAACTACAAAAGTAATTTTTATCAAATACATGTGATGTAAATTTCTCATTTCTCTTTTAGGGGTTCGGTTCATCATAATTTTGCTGACTTCACTTTTGCAGCCGGTAAAGTAATTGGACACATATTCAAATTAAAAGGACATATAGATTCAGAGGTTGCTATTGATCTCACCGACAAAGCTTCATTAGCATTCTTACAAAAGTATTTAGGTAAGAAATGAATCTTATTTCCTAAACTGATGTTCTACGATAACTCTGCATTATTTAACAATCTAGTTTTAACTATTTCTTTACAATTAAACAAAGCAGTAAATCAATTTGAAAGCAAAAATTTGAGAAAGCTTTCCTGCTTTGCATTCTATTTATCATAGAAAGCAAATCTACTTGTTAAGAGTTAGTTTCTCCATAAAGTCTGGGAGAGACTTGCCTCTTGGAGATACTGATGGAAAGAAGGGTGCCTCACTCCTACCTCTCAACTTCTTGCAGCTGATGAAGCCCTGGGGTAGCTGACATGGAACACCTTGCCACTAAGGTCACTGTGCAATTTGCATAATGTATAATTCTACAGTGCCACCTAGAGGTGCTAGACTGTTCAGTGCTCATAAATGTTTAATATGTTTATTAACATTTATATTTTGTAGGACTTGAAAAAGACTTTAATCAGTGGGACTCTCTGATGGAAGGAGCTGATAAGAATCTTATTCCAGGACCAACAATTCACACACTCACCCAACCTGACACTCCACAGGACTCTATGGGAATAGAGAAAGAGAATGTAGATTAAAAGAGCTTTTTTAAAAGTTTCATTTAAAAACTGAGAGAGCAAGAATCTTAATTGTATTTTCCCAAATAATTCATACCTTAAGTTTTAGTTTATACCGTAATAGTGATTGAGTTGAGGTTTGGATTAAAAACTTTTTCCTTTAAAGAAAGAATGCAATATACAAAAATCATAGCAGCACAAATTATATTTTTATTTAGTGGATCTTTTTTGTATTAAAATTAAAATTGGCTTTTACATTATTTTAATTAATGGAAGTGTATTAAAAATAGGCACAATGCTAATGAAAACCTGTTGTGATGAGATTCCCTAAACTTACAGTAAAAACAGATGTTCTTGTCTTTTATTCTCTGTTAGCAGTAGTAGAATTCAGTTTTAGCAACCTGGTATTCTAGGATAAACTTGGCAGTGTTTAACTTTCAGTCATGATAAGAAAAATTAGATCTGTTTGATAATAAAGTCATTGTTTTAATGCAGGACTGGTGATACTATACAATTTCAATATGGTAAGGAAATGGGGAGGGGACCAAGGTTGGGAGTGCTAGGAACAGGGCAGAGGCTTGTAAAACAAGTTGGCAATTTGTTTGCATTTTTAAATGTTCTCTCCCATGCATTCTATTTACTAAACAAAAGTGCTCTTGGTATTACAGCTATGAAAGACAGGCCGGGGATTCCAGCTATAACAAATTAATATAGTTATTCACCTAAAAACTGAAGGATAACAGAGGCAGTATTCTGAGTTACATTTAATCACTTTGTTTTCCCAATAAATATTTAATGGAAATTTTAAATTTTACATGTAGTAATAATATAAGTAGAATAACAGTTAAATGGAGGTTTATAAAAATCTTAAAATATAGACTCTTGGGCTGGGGATGTGGCTCAAGCGGTAGTGCGCTTGCCTGGCATGCGCGTGGGCGCTGGGTTGGATCCTCAGCACCACATACAAATAATGATGCTGTGTCCGCCGAAAACTAAACAATAAATATTTAAAAATTCTCTCTCTTTTTAAAAAAATATATAGACACACTTATACATCTAGGAATTATGCTGCTCAATAGTTAAGTGTATATTTTGGCCTAAATATGACGTTCCTAGAAATTCTCCAGAATTTTAAGTTAGCCTATGTGAACAAGGAAATCAATACTTTGTCTGGTTGATACTTCAATCCCTATCTCTTCCACCCAGTTAATAAGTAACTATGTGATTTGGCACCTCAGGCCATCTTTAGTGGCTTAAGGTGCAAAATCATTCATTCTGAGAAATTTGAATTATCCTTCCCGATAGTCGTTCAAGGTATTGTTTTAATAGGGAGTTAGGCCAAACTCCACTTGAAACAGAAACCTTTCTACAGTCTGACCCTGGTACGTCTTCTCTGGCCTTTTCTCCTGGTAATCGCACGCTTACTGACTTTACAAATGGACAAACCATTGCCATTGTATTGACCTCTCATTCAAGAGCAATATTTTTACAGTCCTTTGTTGGTGGCACATGCAGATGCTGAAAGAAGAAAACAACTGCTGAAAATATTAGCCATGGGTTAAGTTCGAAAAATAAACAGCATAGTGCACACTGGGTACTTTTCAGGAAAGAGAAGGGAACATTTATTGAGTTCTTTTTTCTGGGCACTTCACATAAATGATGTGAAAGGTTTCATTATCACCAATTTACAGATGAAGAACATCAAAGCTCAAAGATATTATATAACCTGCCCACATCACATATCTGTTAAGAGCATTTAAGATCTATTTCCCAAAGGTAGAATCTGTTTCCAAAAGCTAGGATCTGTATATGACCCATACAAAACCATGTTCCAAGGCACAGCCTTTGAAGTTAGATGAGTGTGAGTTTGATCAAGCCTCTGAGACTCCCAATTGGCCTGGGCAAATTATCTAACCTCTCTAAAAAGCTTTACTTTTCTTACCTATAAAATATGGGTAAAATAAACATGTCCCTCAGAGTTGATGATTAAAATGTGGAAATGACTTTAAAGTGCCAGCTGAGTGACTCATACACAAAAACTAACATTAAATATGAAAACTAACATTAAATATCACTAAGCCTCTCTCCCCGGCCAATTACAGGGGAGGAGAGACGGAACCACAGATGAAATGAAATGAAATGAGACTACCACAGCTTTTAAGGATAAACTTTATTCAAATTTTGTGTCATATTAGCATACTTCCAAATTCAAACAGAATAATAAATTTTTTAACTAGACAGACAAGGCAAAGCTTTAAAATTAAAAAAAAAAATTCTGAAGGAGACACTACCAACAAAGTCATCCTCCTAAGTAGCATCGTGTAATGTTCTTGTCGTAAACCTATGTTTTTCTGTGTTAATGTAAACACTATATTGAAAAGGTACCAACAGTTCCTTTGAAATGTTGAGTATAGGTATGTTAGCAAATTGTTCAGCAAAATAAATCTTCCAGCTGAATAAAAACACAAGACAATTCAAAGCAGAGGAAAGATCCCAGAGCCAGCCATACATACAGAATCCCACTACAAATACCCTGTACAATCAACCTGAGACATAGTTTAATTTTGATACATATCAGTTTTCAAAATGACAACTTCCTGTGGTTAATGCCTTCTATTTCCTCAGACACACTTGATCTGGATGAGATGCCACTGGTTCACGAGCAGCTTTGGACCAGTTACACTTAGGGATCCACACTTAAATCCACATCACTTGCTGACCCCTTTTCTGAAACAAGATGAGAACAACCTTAAGTTGAGAAAAAAAACAAACCTAAGAACAAGACAATCATTTAAATGAGTTCTACAATGACAAAGTTAAAGTTCTCTAAAGGTGGTAGAGGAAAAGGTAAGTTGTAATTACTACAGAGAATTATTCCTGTAGAAATGATTTTATTTTTAGTATTTTGGTACTCACACTACACATATTATCAAAGATATTATATAACCTGCCCACTTTTTAAAGAAACTTTTAAAAGTTTCTTTAAAAGATTACAAAATGGGTATATTTTATATTTTGCTAGAATGAGGTTAACAAGGCTAATAACCAATAGGACTTCCATTATTTTTGACTAGTGTGTGCTTTTAATTAATACTAAATCCACCAAGAGCTGATTTCATTCTGAATGTGTCTCAGTTGTAAGAACCAATATGCTATTTATGAACAGCAATGTGTACTAACTGAGAACATACAACAAATTGGATTTTATCATATAGATAAACTAAAAATTTAGGAAGAAATTTTAAAAGATTAACATACAGAGGTCATTTGAACATAATTAATCTAAGAAAAGTCCCTTAAATTCCTTTAAAATATAAATTCACCCAGACCTACAATTTAACTTTCAAGATTAATTCAATCAACCAACAAATTCCTTTGACATTTCAAAATATCTTCCTCATGCTTATTTTATCCCCAAAGACATACCTAATTTATTTTTTACCTAATCCTTCCCACCCCACACACACAACACACAACACACCCCCCCCACCACCACCACCACATTCAAGAAAATTGACAGACTCAGGATAATGGTGTTTTAAAACACTTGGAAAATGCTGGGTAATAAAAGTATTTTGTTTTTAAAAAGACGAGTTACCTTTAAATGTGGTATCATCTGATGACATGAAGTAAAGATCTTTTCCCAGGGTGTGGAATACAGCCTAACAAAAGGAACCTTTGAATTACAACCAATTTTCAAATGAAAGTACAAAGTAGTTTAAATCAGAAACAGGATCATAGATAAGCCATAACAAAAAAGGTAAACAAAAAGTATTTCTTTTAAAATTATGACAATCTGGTTTTATAGTGAAGAATCGCCTCATGTACAGTTCCTATTTTTTGACTACTCATGTTTCTGGAACGTCTCCACTGGTACCCTTTTCCAAGCTTGAGCTCCCAGACCCCTGATGACATCAGTCTTTGGTGAGGGAAGGAGAGACATCACTGCTCAAGGGGCCACTACTGTCCACTGAGTGTCACAGATGATTAATGACCCAGTGAAGAGGAATAGTACTCTGATGCTCCTTTCAAAACTAATAGTATCATGTGCATGCTTGATGTGATACAGAAACTGATTCCTGAGACATTTTCTTATGACAAAATGAAATAGTCCAGGTTTTAAGAATTCCTTAAAAATATAATCAGAAGGACATGGAGATCATAATGATTTAATATGTCATAAAAAGCTGCAATACCTCATAATATTCACTTTTTAAGGAAAACTATTTCATTTGAAGATGTGTATTCTTATTTAAGGCTCCCTCAAATTTGAGGAAAGGCTCATTTAAATTCCATTAATAATCAAATAAAAAATTGGAAAGCCTTACTCATAAGTAGTTTTTACATATATGCTTACTGGCTTAACACCAGTGTGTGTGTGTGTGTGTGTGTGTGTGTGTGTGTGTGTGTGTGTGTGTATATGTAAATATATGTGAGTATTAAGTAGACATAAAATATACATGCT